CTTTCTGCTGGAGAGAGTCCAAACTATTTTTTTTAATGTAAGCACAGATGTTTTTATTGCTTATGTGAATGTGTATCAGGACTCTGTTGTAATGCACTCATACAAGCAGGCACCCACTGCTCTGAAATGAGGGCTGAGAGGGGTTGGTGTAGAACCGGCTATGCTAGCTCTGTGCTCGTGGAAGATTCCATTATGCCCAGGGAATGCTTGGCAGCTAGGTGGCCTCAGGTAAGTCAGTTCATATCTGCTTTAGTTTCCCCATCTACAAAATGTGATAATATTTCACCCTTTGGAAATTTACTGAGTATAGATTAGTCAATTAACAATGATAGGAATAAGCACTGTATTAAATGGAGGCAGACAATTTGGAGCTCAAAGAAGCTCAGTAAAAATGAGAGACCTACAGCACCTGATTCATGAGTAGATATTAAGAATTTAGTGGGTTTAGCTCAACTTGGTGATGACTCAGGGAGGGATGTGTGGCTGTCTACGAGTACAAAGAAGAGGGAGAGGAATTATTTAGGCATGTGCCAGGAGGTCTGTTTAGAAGCATAGTCCTGGGATCTTAAAATTTCACTTGTTGAGCTGGATCATCTACTCAGCAGAGGGAATCCCATTGAAGAGCGATACCAACATATCAAATTCTAATTCACTCCCTGAAGGACAAAGCTGGCAGACTAAGGGTTTGTCTACACTACCGCTTCAGTCAATATAACTTATGTTGCTCGGGTGTGAAAAAGTCACCCACTCTGAGCGACGTAAGTGACATCAACTTAAAACAATGTCCACACTGTGCTATGTCAGTGGCATCTCGGTGAGGTGGAGTAATTACGTTGGTAGGAGAGCACTCTACAGTTGACGTAGTGCATCTTCACCAGACATGCTAGATTGGTGCAGCTGCATCAATGCAGCTGGCTGATATAGCATGGTAGTGAAGACAAGCCCTGAGGTCCTCCAACTAGAATGGAATGAAATTAAAAAGAAAACTTAAATTGAATATCAGGAAAACTTCCTGACAGGGACAAATCCTTTCCTCTCAGAAAAACTTGCAGGAGGAGGAAAAGTTCTACCAGAATACCCGCACTGTGTGCTTGTGGAATTTCCCATGTAAGGGGTGAATAGAGGAGAACAGTCTGATGTCTTGTAATTGCAGTGTCAGAGGATCAGCAGGAAATCTAGTATCAGTGATATGGAAAATCTTGTTACACATTGCCATCTGGTGGGCAATTACATTTAGGAATAAAACAGTTAAGGAGACAAACCTAGTTGTCTGTGGGAAAAGATGGCATTTTTTTTCCATTGGACAAAAATAACAGAAAATTGCCTTTTTTCTTATGGTATTTTAACTCAGCTTGATTTGGAAATCAAAATAGTTTGCAGAGTGGTAGGAACAACTACAGAAATTGGAAGAAAAACAAGCGTGAAGAAACTTGACAGACATAGAAAATAATTAATTGGGTAGTGAAAACTGACCCTTTTTACCTTGTCCCAGAGTGAGAGGAAACCAGCTTGTACAAAAATGTCCATCTCCCTTCAGAACAACGCACACCACTGTGGCGCTGTAGGGTACATCTACACTGCACGCTTCTTTTGGCAGCATGTAGTGCAGTGGCTCTCATCCAGCAGTCTGGGTCCCACTAGGGGGCCGTGGGCAGGTTTCAGGGGAAATGCCAAAATTAAACCAGAGAGTAGGCCAGGTGTTAGACTCACTGGGGCTGAAGCCTGAGCCCCACCGCCTTGGGCTGAAGCCGAAGCTCAAACAACTTAGATTTGCGGGTCCCCTGTGGCATGGGGCCCCAAGCAGTTGCCCTGCTCACTACTCTCTAATGCCAGCCCTGGCTTCTAATCTACTGGAGTTGTTGTGACACAGGTGGGCACCGGAGCTTTTATAGCATGTTGGGGCTGCCTCAGAAAGACAAAGGTTGAAAACCTCTGACGCAGCGTACATACACATAGACCTCCCGTAGCTTGGGGGTAACGAACAACATAGACTGTAAGGCATGGCTTTGGTGAGTACAGACAGGCCAGAAGGGTGTGGCTGTGTACCCGAGTACACACCCTACATGCCTCTCTACTCCCCACACATTGCCTTCGGTCTCCACTGCTGTTTTTGCCGTGTTGTGGCCTGCTGCCTCCCCACTGCTGGAGTCTTTCCCTGAAGCAGGGAAAGACCAGCAGCAGGGAAAGGTTCTGGCAGGTGTGAACAGTGGGGAAAGGCTGAACCTTCCTCCTCTGCCCACCCCCTGCCAGAGTCTTTCATTGCCACAGTGAAAGGCTCCAGCAGGGGGGAGGATTTTGAAAATACCAATTTCTCCAGGAAAGCATTTGAACAAGATTCAACCCTGGTTTTTATAAAATAAGGGTTTTGCAGAGTTTGTCTCCTCATGACTGTTTCCTTTCATAATTTGTCTGCACGTGTTGAGTCACTTTATTCATGTACCATTTCAGTTTGTCCTTCCTGTCTGCTTCACTTTAGCTTGAACACATTCGGTTCTCTAAGCTTTCCGTATATAGTAGGTTTCATTTTCCAAACATTCTATCCTTTCTGTTGCTCTCCTTTAACTCTTCCCAGTCTGGCTCTAACTGAGGCCTACCCAGTGCTCAGAAGAGAGGCATTTTGAATGTCTGTCTCTGTGAATGATATAACCACTATCCTTTGGGGGTGAAAGGTGTCTTAAAGTGTAACTATCATTGTTACAAACCCCACCACCGCTCTGCTAGTATATTCACTCTATCTGTGGCAGCATCATGCTGCAGTTTAAAAAAGTAATGACTACCAGACTTAATGGTATTCTGGGTTCAGATCTTCAGACTTCTCAGAGGGAAAATATGACTCACTCCTCGGGGGCTTTTTGTTTTAAACAGTCCTTCTGACAGTGCTTTTTTGGGAAATTCCAATGTATCTATACACAATTTCACATTAGAGTTCACTACTACAAATGTAAGAAGTTCGTTTTAAGGCCCCTCTGTTCCAAACTAGACAAGCTGTGTGACCCACTCAGGCCTTAAGAAATGGGCACTCATAACTTGCACTTGTCAATAAAAAGGAGCCATAGCCGGTGCTGCACCTCCTTGTAAGTGAAGCCAGAATGACAGTCCAGGATGAGGAGATGTAGATGTGCCTTTAAGCTACTTCTTATACTTCCCTAATTCTGGCCTGCTCTAGGGGTTGGCGTGGCAGATTACAGAATGTTCCAGCCACACTCTCTCCCTCCTGCTTGTCCTCCATCTACACTAGGACTACATGGGAATGTAGCGTAGGACAGTCCATACTAGCCCTATCCTACCCCTGCATTGGGGAATTCCCAGGAGGGCATTCCATCCCCTTTATGGCAGTAGAGCAGCATAAAAGGGCTGCAGTGGGGGACATAATCAGCCCCAGGGGGTGTGAGATCTGTACACTGACAAAGGCAAACAATCTTGTTACTTATTACTAATTATTCATATAGTATCAGGGTGCCGTTCAGGTCCAGCAACTCTTCTGATCATGTGCAACATACAGAACGCAGAAGTTAGATCACCTATCTCCTAGCTATCATTGCGATTAGTAGAGGGCTACTTGAGGTTCCTATAAAGGGAGGAAGATTGTGAGCGTTTTGGCACTCTGTCTCTGACATCGGCATGCTGATTGGCGTTAATACATAGTGGTTAGTCATTCTGAATGTATAAGCATGGGCTAGATGTGAAGTCTTGCTCCACACATGTCAAGAGATGTTTCCAAAAGTTCAGCAGGCATATTCCATGTAAGAATTGAGGTGTAGTTGTGGATCCTAAACTAGTTGTAGGCTGTATAGCCATAAAAACTCCATGGACAGAACCACGAATGGCTGAAATTTCTCAAACATATCTTATTGAGAGGACTGTCTCTCATTTTAATCTCAAATTTATCTGTTTCACACAAACCTGTCTTTAGCACTAGGATCCATTCAGGTCAAACTTTCCTTCACAGCCCTCCCAGGTCATGCAATCCTGGAAGATTTACTGTATTTCATTAGTAGCATGATCATTAGTAGCAGACTCCTAAGACTGGTCTCAGCATTACACTCTGCGCAAGCCTGCCCTGTAGCTGATTCACAGCACCTGATGCTCCTTTGCCTTGCACCCTTGTAGTCATTTACATCTGGGTAAAGTGCTACTTTTCTGATTACAACCACTTATCACAGGTGTAAATGACTGCATGGGTGCAAAGGCATAAGGTACAGACTGGGGAGAAACAGGCCCATACTCTTTGAGTAGCCAAAGAGCCATTAGTAGCAATGTGGCTCATGGAAGCAGTGTCAGGCAGTGCACTGAGTGTGACTAATGGAGTTACTGCTGGAGGACTGAGAGGCAGTGAGTCAAAGAAAAAATAGCAAAGGCATCATGTGACCAGAAAATCTCAGTCAGGAAGAAGAGAAGCATTCACCAACCTAAAAATTCTCAGGAGACTACCAATAAGCTGCATGGAATCAGTGAGTGGAGGGGGACACTCCCCAGACTTCAGTGATAAGGTGAAGTCCTCCACAGGAGTCATGAGAGGTGGGAGACTTCCCTCAACAAACAGTCCTTGTAACTACTTTTCTTTTCAGCCAGCTGTACCTGGATGCAAGAAAATTAACATGATGGACAAATGATGCGATACAGTGTAGCAAATATTTGTACCTCACTTGCTCCTGGAGCTATATAAGGGACCTAGGAGAGAGGGAGAAAAGGAAATAGCTCCAGCACAAGAAATTGTGGATTGTAGGAAGTAGGACACTAACATAGGCTTACAGATTAACCTTTCCTTCCACAGAGTAGCCCTGCAGTTCCCTAGATTCTTTTGGAGGTTGATAAACTATGTGGCAGCCCAGTCATGCTGAATAGATTGGTCTGGTGCTCAGCTTTCTGGGCTTCATATGGTCCAGAGATGAATGGAGCTTTCAGTTTTCATTCCTGAGGTTTACTGATATCAGGAATCTGAAATCTTGAAACTGAGGTTATTATAGGCCAATTTATACAAATTAATGGAAAGAATCATACACTATTTCAAGCTCTTCTTTTATTGCTGCTTGTTCTTACTTTAAATCTTTGCATTAGAAAAGCTAGTATCAAACATTTGGGCCTTGGAGAGATCACAGTTGGTATGACAGACCTTTAAAAATTGAGGACCCAGTTCTGTCCTTCAGTTATACAGGCACAGATCGCATTTCATTTCACGGATTTTTTTTTTTAAGACCAGAAGGGACCATCATGATTATCGTAGAAGGCAATAATCTGCACCCACACATCTGTGGTTAGTTTGGGGCCTTCCATGAAATATGTACATGTTCATATGCTTTCACAACTGAAAGTATCATTTAAAGTAATCTATAAAAACAAGTATATTCATCTTCCAAATACATAACAAGTGAATAGCCCCACTGACTTTAAATGGGATTTCTCATGTGAGTAAATCTTTAACATGTTTACAGATTACATTAAAGTTAGTCTTTAAATTTAAAATAATTGAATTCCTTTTTTTTCCCCTAAGTGTGTTTGCTGAAAATACTGTAAACGTAACGCCAGAGTTTTCATTCTCTTACATAAGGAAAATAGCTATAAACCATAATTTTAGCATAACTAAACACAAAGATCATCCATTGTCTGGGACCATAAATCTTTAACTAAAGCTTCATTCCAAAATGTTGGCTGAGTTTTTTTGTGTGACACACAGAAGCATTGTGAGTCCTCTGCATGAACTCCTATATTGTTGTTTTTTTAGTGAATGCTTCCCAGAATCTCTGTTCCCAGTCCTTTACAAAGGATAGCAAAATCTCAATCTCTGAAGTGCACATCGATGCATTTCCAGAAGTTAGCCATGCTGTCTGTGTTTGTTCACTCACCTCTTCTTTAATCAGGTAGAAATGCTGAAGGAAACGGTCTTTGAAAACTTTGTTATTTACAACATAAAAATAATACTTACCTGTTTAGAAATATTTTTCCACTGACTACACATTATGTCTATCAGAATGGGTGCTGCTTTGCTCAGCAGTATTGACATTTGATCTTCCGTTTTCCTGACTGCTGAAAGTGACCGCATTCAGTTTTTTCTCAATTTTATCAGCAACAGCACGCATTTTTAATTCTCTCAGGCTGACGATCAAATTTTCATAAGCCCCCTTCATTCCATGATGTTGATACCACATATGGAACAATTTGATTTTCTGCTCAGTTGAATCATTTATATAGTCCTGGAGTGTCTGCTCTATGGCAGGTTCTGGGATTTCATGCTTCCGAACAAAAGCCTTGACTTGTGGTAGCGTCATCACCTCCACAATAGCAGGAATGTGGGCACTCAGGTCAACATCTGACAATACAAATAACATTTGAAAACACAAATTCATGGCACTAGTATTTTACTGATTTTTTTTCATGTTTTAAATAGATTACACGTTTCCTATTCAAAACAGATATTTCAAGCCTAAGTGAGAGATCGAGAGAAGTCTTTTACAGGGAACTTCACAGTAGACATGGGTCAACATGCTACACTTTCCCTTGTGTTAGAAAATTCAAATGTTCAGGTATGGACCCATATCCCCTTCTTGTGACTTCAAATAAGTGCTCGGATCTTTCTATAGGACCCTTTCTCCTTCCCTTCCTCAAGCAGACAAGCACCTCTGGCATCCTCTTAGCTCGGCGCTGAACCTCTCCATAATGATACTTCCATTGCTGGACTCATGCACTTGACAGTTCAGTGTCTAGAAGCCTATCTTCTGGGCTTTGCGTACTACTTGATCTGTAATACAGGGTGAATGCCTTTGGCTTTGAAAGCTGCAGAGTCCAGGAGATTAGAATATATGAATACCTGAGATCTGGCAACAAGATTGCCAGTGTATCTACTGAACCACCAGAGGGTTTCTTAGTTAGAGAGTCCTGTGGGACAAAGTCTCCAAAAATCTGCATATACTCACAATTTTTTAACAAGCAGGAAAACAGTTGGGTGCTCATCCAAGCAGAAACATTTTGGGTTTTTCAATAACTAATTCCTGCTAACATTAATCAAGTAACACAGAGTCTGCAGACCTTACTGAGACAAAACGTCCTTTGATTTAAAAAAAAAATGAGCGTTGTGTCTTAGTTAGGACTGGAGGTTTGTTCCCATAACTGACATTTATTTAATAAGGAGAGTTACAAATCAGTGAGGAGTGACAGCTCCTCGAAACAGAGACTGACCTTGCATTAAATTGAACAAAACATATGTTCTTGCATGGTTTCTAAACCATATTTCTCACCATTCCTACACAGAAAGTAAAATGTTATTTCATACCTGTGTACACAAGAGGCTCCACTTCCTGGAAACAGATAAAGAAAAAAGTGTAAAGGAGGCCCTGCAGATTGTAGAGTCTCTGCCCTTCCCCCCCAAGTTTTTCTTGATTATTGATTTTTTTCTGTTTTTTCACTTATTCCCATCTTCTCTTCTTCTTTCAGTGGTACAGTCTCTTTTGTACCTTAGTTGGGGGGGGGGTTGGGCTCCCACTACCAATTTTTTTTAAAACACCAAATTATGCAAAATGCTAAATTTCATGAAATTTGGAGTTTTCTCTCAGCTTTATCCATGACCCCTCTCTTTAGTAGCCAGGCCATGTTTAGAATACAGTGCACTAGCAAATTTTAAACTCAAGAATAGAAATGAAGGTGGTCTGTATTTGGGTCACCGGACTAGTTCAAGAACTTCAGGATCTTAGCTACTCAGAATGCTTAATCAATGTATGGAACATTCTTTAGGAGAGAAATGATCCTTTGTCTAAGTGAGGAGCTCTGTACTAGGCTGGAGAGAGATGCTGCTGCAAGAAGGTAGCTTCCCCTAGCTCCACACCCTTCCTGTCTACAGCCCACAGACAAGCATCGGGGGCGGGGAGGAGAAATGACACTCAACCCCTCTTCCCCCACAAACTTTGGGCCGCTTTTTGCATGTTTCTGTAATGATCTGACCCTAATGAGTCAGGCCAGGAAATACATTCCTCCCCCACCCCACCCCCACCCCAGGGTCCTCTGTAGAAAACTCTTCTGACCCCAACTCTCACTCTGCTTCCTCATGGTCCCCTCAGTGTTGCAACTGTCCTTTGGCCATAGAGAACTGGATTAACTGAGCCCTTTAGTACTGCTCATAGATTATCTGAGAGAGTAGAGAGGGTCACAGCAGAATGACACAATGTCCTCTCTTATCCTCAGCTGCTGGGCACTCATTGCTAGCACCTTCCACTCTAAGGAACAATACGTGTTTAAAGATAGGACTGTTTAGGGGATAAAAGCTTCAACTTTATCTCAGGCAGAAAGAGTGGAGCGATTCGAATCAAATCCCTGACTTCCTTCCTAGCTTGTGTGTGTAGCTGGGACAGGAGGGTTTGAAAACTTCTTCTTGTTCTCCATATATACATTGTACTATACAAAACACTCTCTTTTTCAGAAATGCTCGTAGGAAGCACATGGACAAATCCTGTTATTTGCTTGGCAAAAATAGTTTGGAACTCTCCCACGTGTCTTTCTCTCTGTGGTGTAGTTCACTTCTCTCACATAAAGCCAGAGGGTAAAGGGAGGACAGGCCTCCACAATCTACACAGCCCCAGTGTGGATTTAAGTGGTGCAGAGGGCCTCATGCACCAAGCTGAATTTCAGCCATGCTAAACAATGATACCTACAGAGGTGGGTGGTTTGTGGACAACCCGAGACAGCATCTGATTGTTCACATCAAAATCCTTCCGTTTCTTCTTGTCTGAAACAAAACATGCCAAAAATTTTAAAAATCAGCGCATAGTATGTATCAGTGCTAGAGTGGAGCACCTAAAAGAGGAGAATTATGATTAATTAAGCAGTAGTCAATTCAGTATACAATATGGATGAATAAAAGAAATTAACTTACAACAGTACGCTGCTACGGCTGATAGTGATGCTATAGCGATGACAATTCCAATCACTAGATAAATCCACCAGAAGTTTCCTGATAATTTAGAGCATTGTAAAATTTACATAAAAGCAAAGCACAGAAAATCAGTGCAATACAACAACACACTTGGAACCCTTCACAGGATTATAAAGGCCAGACTGTGGAAGGACCTTGTATAGATGCCTCCCCAGACGCAGCGCACGACTGGTGAGGTGCAAGGAGTCTTCCCTCTCTGCTCCTTGCAGCCCTGTGCCAGGGCAAGACACAAAAATGATTCCTGTTCTCTCCTGCCAACAGGGACTGCTCCCCATTACTGTTCCTACGGTACAGGCCACTCTACAAGGGGCAACCCCGCCATACCAGCCAGCAGAACTGACCAGTCATGGACTGGAAGCCATGTTCCACCCTTGTGCAGCCATGGGTGTGCTCCGCCTGCATACCAGGTGTCCCCAGGAAGCATTTTATATGGTGGTGCAGCTCCATGCTTGCTCCACCTTGGGTCTAACACACACAATCTGGCCTACACTGCATAGCTGATTCTGCTGTATCCAACTGACTCTATCTATGGAGATACCAAGATTAAGTAATTCACTCTCACTTTTGCATATGGTATTTGTGGTCGGAGTGCATACTTTTTCAATTGCGCCATTTTCACACCTAGAGAAAATATGAAAAATATGTATGTATTTAATAGTAATTTAACAATAGAAAAACAACACAATCTGTCATGAAAAGAAGGCAAAGTTATCCATGCCCCCCACACTGTTACCAGCTGGCTTAATATAGTAAGAAATCGGAATTTTGAATTTAGTAGGGAGGAAGAAGTGTCTCTCTAGTCCTCCAATGTTGTTATATTTAGTCTCTAGGGATTCTTGTCCAGTTTCCTATAAGTCATAATGTAAATGATGTTAATACCACTATTTACAGAGTGCACCCGCACGGCCTTGTGAGCAGCTCAGGGTGCTGTACGCCAAGATAAAACCCAATGAAACACAAAAAAACCAAAAAATATCTGCAAGATAAAAGAAGGGAGGGAACCTAATAGGAAAAAAGGAGTGAAGAGAAAGGCAATAAAGAAAGGATCAACAGCGCTCCTTCAAAATAACCCAAACACCTTTAGAATAAAGTTTTTTACTTGCTTTTTAAAAGTAGGGAGAGATTAGGAAAGAGATGGTTTTGGGGAGGCAGAAACAGTTCCACCCATTAAGGTGCCCAATAACAAAAGCACAATTGCACCATGTGACCTCCAGAAGAAGAAAGGGGAGCGTCCATGTACCAGCAACGCAGATACAGGTAAGTAAACTTTTTCATGTTCTCTCCACAGGTACTAATGCGGAGGGTGGACTAGATGATACATCTGAGGGAAGGGGACAAAAGGAGACTCCGCCGATTGGAAGGCATGAGATGCACTGTCCTAGGGTTGGGGGTTCCACGACCACTGTTCCCAAGAGAAGGAGGCAGGTGGTGGTGGTCGGGGACTCTCTCTCCTCAGGGGGACCGAATCGTCTATCTGCTGCCCTGACCGGGAAAACCGAGAAGTCTGCTGCTTGCGAGGAGCTAGGATTCACGATGTGACAGAGAGACTGCCGAGAGTCATCAAGCCCTCGGATCGCTACCCCTTCCTGCTTCTCCACGTGGGCACCAATGATACTGCCAAGAATGACCTTGAGTGGATCACTGCAGACTACGTGGCTCTGGGAAGAAGGATAAAGGAGTTTGAGGTACAAGTGGTCTTCTCGTCCATCCTCTCTATGGAAGAAAAAGGCCTGGGTAGAGACCGTCGAATCGTGGAAGTCAACAAATGGCTACGCAGGTGGTGTCGGAGAGAAGGCTTTGGATTCTTTGACCATGGGATGGTGTTCCAAGAAGGAGGAGTGCTAGGCAGAGACGGGCTCCGCCTAACGAAGAGAGGGAAGAGCATCTTCGCAAGCAGGCTGGCTAACCTAGTGAGGAGGGCTTTAAACTAGGTTCACCGGGGGAAGGAGACCAAAGCCCTGAGGTAAGTGGGGAAGTTGGATACCGGGAGGAAGCACGAGCAGGAGCGTGCAAGAGGGGAGGGCTCTTGCCTCATACTGAGAAAGAGGGATGATCAGCGAGTTATCTCAAGTGCCTATACAGAAATGCAAGAAGCCTGGGAAACAAGCAGGGAGAACTGGAAGCCCTGGCACAGTCAAGGAATTATGATGTGATTGGAATAACAGAGACTTGGTGGGATAACTCACATGACTGGAGTACTGTCATGGATGGATATAAGCTGTTCAGGAAGGACAGGCAGGGCAGAAAAGGTGGGGGAGTTGCATTGTATATAAGGGAGCAGTATGACTGCTCAGAGCTCAAGTATGAAACTGCAGAAAAACCTGAGAGTCTCTGGATTAAGTTTAGAAGTGTGAGCAACAAGGGTGATGTCGTGGTGGGAGTCTGCTATAGACCACCGGACCAGGGCGATGAGGTGGACGAGGCTTTCTTCCGGCAACTCACAGAAGTTACTAGATCGTAGGCCCTGGTTCTCATGGGAGACTTCAATCACCCTGATATCTGCTGGGAGAGCAATACAGCTGTGCACAGACAATCCAGGAAGTTTTTGAAAAGTGTAGGGGACAATTTCCTGGTGCAAGTACTGGAGGAACCAACTAGGGACAGAGCTCTTCTTGACCTGCTGCTCACAAACCGGGAAGAATTAGTAGGGGAAGCAAAAGTGGATGGGAACCTGGGAGGCAGTGACCATGAGTTGGTTGAGTTCAGGATCCTGACACAGGGAAGAAAGGAGAGGAGCAAAATATGGACCCTGAACTTCAGAAAAGCAGACTTTGACTCCCTCAGGGAGCTGATGGGCAGGATCCCCTGGGAGAATAACATGAGGGGGAAAGGAGTCCAGGAGAGCTGGCTGTATTTTAAAGAATCCTTATTGAGGTTACAGGGACAAACCATCCCGACATGTAGAAAGAATAGTAAATATGGCAGGCGACCAGTTTGGCTTAACAGTGAAATCCTTGCTGATCTTAAACACAAAAAAGAAGCTTACAAGAAGTGGAAGATTGGACAGATGACCAGGGAAGAGTATACAAATATTGCTCGGGCATGCAGGAGTGAAATCAGGAAGGCCAAATCACACCTGGAGTTGCAGCTAGCAAGAGATGTTAAGAGTAACAAGAAGGGTTTCTTCAGGTATGTTAGCAACAAGAAGAGAGTCAAGGAAAGTGTGGGCCCCTTACTGAATGAGGGAGGCAACCTAGTGACAGAGGATGTGGAAAAAGCTAATGTACTCAATGCTTTTTTTGCCTCTGTCTTCATGAACAAACTCAGCTCCCAGACTACTGCACTGGGCAGCACAGCATGGGGAGGAGGTGACCAGCCCTCTGTGGTGAAAGAAGTGGTTCGGGACTATTTAGAAAAGCTGGACAAGCACAAGTCCATGGGGCTGGATGCGCTGCATCCGAGAGTGCTAAAGGAGTTGGCGGATGTGATTGCAGAGCCACTGGCCATTATCTTTGAAAACTCATGGCGATCAGGAGAAGTCCCGGACGACTGGAAAAAGGCTAATGTAGTGCCCATCTTTAAAAAAGGGAAGAAGGAGGATCCTGGGAACTACAGGCCAGTCAGCCTCACCTCAGTCCCTGGACAAATCATGGAACAGGTCTTCAAGGAAATCAATTCTGAAGCACTTAGAGGAGAGGAAAGTGATCAGGAACAGTCAGCATGGATTCAGCAAGGGCAAGTCATGCCTGACTAATCTAATTGCCTTCTATAACGAGATAACTGGCTCTGTGGATGAGAGGAAAGCAGTGGACATGTTGTTCCTTGACTTTAGCAAAGCTTTTGACACGGTCTCCCACAGTATTCTTGCCAGCAAGTTAAAGAAGTATGGGCTGGATGAATGGACTATAAGGTGGATAGAAAGTTGATTGTCAGATTGATAGATTGTCAGGCTCAATGGGTAGTGATCAGTGGAGTGCTCCAAGGGTCGGTCCTCGGGCCGGTTTTGTTCAATATCTTCATAAATGATCTGGAGGATGGTGTGGATTGCACACTCAGCAAGTTTGCAGATGACAGTAAACTGGGAGGAGAGGTAGATATGCTGGAGGGTAGGGATAGGATACAGAAAGACCTAGACAAATTAGAGGATTGGGCCAAAAGAAATCTGATGAGGTTCAACAAGGACAAGTGCAGAGTCCTGCACTTAGGACAGAAGAATCCCATGCACCGCTACAGACTAGGGTCCGAATGGCTAGGCAGCAGTTCTGCAGAAAAGGAACTAGGGGTTACAGTGGACAAGAAGCTGGATATGAGTCAACAGTGTGCCCTTGTTGCCAAGAAGGCCAATGACATTTTGGGATGTACAAGTAGGGGCACTGCCAGCAGATCGAGGGACGTGATCGTTCCCCTCTATTTGACATTGGTGAGGCCTCATCTGGAGTACTGTGTCCAGTTTTGGACTCCACACTACAAGAAGAATGTGGAAAAACTGGAAAACGTCCAGCGGAGGGCAACAAAAATGATTAGGGGACTGGAACACATAACTTATGAGGAGAGGCTGAGGGAACTGGGATTGTTTAGTCTGCGGAAGAGAAGAATGAGGGGGGGATTTGATAGCTGCTTTCAACTACCTGAAAGGGAGTTCCAAGGAGGATGGATCTAGACTGTTCTCAGTGGTAGCTGATGACAGAACAAGGAGTAATGGTCTCAAGTTGCAGTGGGGGAGGTTTAGGTTGCATATTAGGAAAAATTTTCACTAGGAGGGTGGTGAAACACTGGAATGCGTTACCTAGGGAGGTGGTGGAATCTCCTGCCTTAGAAGTTTTTAAGGTCAAGCTTGACAAAGCCCTGGCTGGGATGATTTAGTTGGGGATTGGTTTTGCTTTGAGCAGAGGGTTGGACTAGATGACCTCCTGAGGTCCCTTCCAACCCTGATATTCTCTGATTTTATACCTACACCCACTAATAGCTGGGGGGGGCGGGGGGTGGGGGGGGCGAGGGGATAAGGCAAACCTTGATAAAACTGAAAAGCAGGCTGGCCTTATTCACAACAGATCTGGTAATCAAACAGTCATGCAGCAGGAAACAGAGGGTATGCCTACAGTACGCTTAGACACCTGTGGTTGGCCTGCTCCAGCTGACTCTGGCTAAAATAATCTGGCTAAGAGGTTATTAAACTGTGGTGTAGACAGTAGGGCTGAAGCCTGGGTCTAGGACCCTGCAAGGTGGGAGGATCTCTGAGCTGCAGCCTGAGCCCAAACTTTTACACTGCAATCAAACAGCCTCTTAGCCTGAGCTCCTTAGCCTGAATCAGCTGGCATGGGCCAGCTGTGAGTGTCTAATTGCAGTGTAGACATACAGAGAATTCCTGTTGCACCAGAGCTACACGACTGTTTATGAACAGGAACCAAACTCATTTCTCACTCTGCCAAGGCCCCAGTGTGGGATACAGTCAGTGTGTGACAAAGACCCAAAATTAGAGATTTAGAAAACTCATACCAGAAAACTAAAATGCTGAGGGATTCCTTCAGACAAAATCGCTCTAAAACCTCAGTTTCATAATTTTAGATTTCTGATGAAAATTAATTTTCATCAGTAAATGAAGGAATACCAACTCTGTATGCACTATACTTGCTTTGTGACTAAAATGAGATGTATGCAGTGTGGTTGTAGCTGTGCTGGTACCAGAATATTAGATAGACAAGATGGGTTATGCAATATCCTTTACTGGACAAATACATTACCTCACCCATCTTGTCTCTCTAAAATGAGAGATGTCACTTCCTGGGGGGGAGATTAGAGAGGTATGAGTCCAAATGAATTTGTCAGAAGATCCTATAAAAGGCACCTGCTGCTTTCCCTGAAGTTCTCTTCCTCTACAGACTGTCACCCTCTGGTATTGCCAGACCTTCCAACTCTACTTCCTCACCCATCCAATCCATCATTCCATAACCTCCTGACATGGAATAATCTTCTGTCTACCCCAACAGAATACACAAAGACAAAGCTCAAAAAACTTGGAGTGGGAATTATTAAAAGTGGCCTCTAAATTTGTGTGCAGATTTGTGCATTCAAATGCATACAGATATTTGCACACAATTGTGGTAACTATCCATGCAGATGGGTACCTATAAAATTTTAGGCCTTGTCCAGACTAGAAAAAAAGTGCTTTTTTTCCCCTAAATGAATGAGTTCAATAGGACTAGCTTAATTAACCTGAAAACCTTGTTAGGCTATAACTTGACCACTAAATGGAGCTAAAAGGTGTTTAACCGTGTTTATGTCGATGTGGGATTTTCAATTGAGTTAAGTGAGCTAAACTGACTTCTTTCCTAAACAATGCATTAGAGGCCACATTGATATTGAAAAACTGGCTGAGCCTGGATAATTCACATTAAACAACAAACCATTTGAATAGTTAAATAATAAAGACCTCAAACTTACTTGCTGCATGGGTCGCAATGATGACATGAGTCAGAAGAATTGCAAAAGTAGTGTTGTTTACACCTGCATTTTGTGTTCTGAGTGACGGTACAAGTTTCTGCAACTTCGAAACCTAAAATAAATCCCAAGAGTTTTCTTCAATTAGAAGAAGGTGGTACTCTAACTATTTTAGTGTACCATTAGCAAATGCTATGCTCAGGCCTATTGCTTTTAAGCTCTATTGCTGTATGCATCAATGTGAGCTGGTCATAAAAGCAAGCATCACCATATTGTTTTCTACATGCTCCTTCTGATTGTGTGATACTGGGAAGAGGAGGGAAGGAAGGAGTCCTCTGCAAGCACATGCTGCGAAGAAAAAGAGCTAACAATAAGCACTTGCTTTGCTGGAAGGGGACTAGTATATAACATTACAAAATACTGGCTGTTTTGTTTTCATTCATCATTCTATGATCATTCATTATATAAAGTGTCTGGTCTCCTGCATATTCAGTTGCCACTTCTATAATGATTCCCTGTGCATCTCCTGCATCATCTGCTGGAATCATCCCCTGGTGCAGTTCCCTGATGTCTGTCTACTTATTTGGACTGGACATTGAGTAAAACAGACAAGTTGGGCAGTGCCAAGCCACTCTGTTTGGCCTGGTTTGAACTAGTTTAGTTTTCTTCTACTAAGCTCTTGCTATTTAAAGTAAACTTTTATCCATCATTGGCTAGTGAGATTGACCTGACTGCGGAGATCTTATAACAGCAAGAGATACCCATACAGTACCAGTAACACACCTAGATCTGAAGGTGACTTTTAAAAAATAATTTTCTTTAGCTGACAACCATTTGAGTCCCTGGTGAGGCATGCACTCAGATAGTGAGTGGAGACCTTGCCAGTACCTTGAGAAAGATTAAAGGAAAAGACATGCTGCTGGAACTGAACCCCAGCCCCCACCTAAAAATGCCAATTTCAACAGCCACCAAGGGTTGTGATGTGGCTGCAAGAGAAAGCTCTGTATGCCCCCTCCCACACACTTGCACAGCCAGAGGGCCAGACACAATCAAGTGCAAAACCCTGTTGGATGCTCAGGGTCCTGAGCCTCTAATAACTTTAAAATGAAGTTTAAATTCATTTAAAATTAATACAACAATTCCTTATTGGAAACTCTTTGTAAACTAAGGATTTTCAACTCTTTGATGTGACTTGTCGCCTCCCTCTCAGCCACTTTCAAACCGGTTTCCTCAAATGCCTCTTATAATATTATGCACAGATTCTACTATGTGTTGCTTATGCAGCACCTCTGAGTTTGAGAAGAAGCAGCTGCAAACCTGCTTCAGCGAGGACTAGAGTGGGAACAGGTTTCTGTTCTCCCAGATGATTGCTTTGTGTCATGGGTGTGTTTGTCCATTTTAAAACACTCAAAACTGTGTGTCTGTGAGAAAATCAAGTTTTATCTCACATTGTCTAGTGTGTGTGGGGTTTTTTATCATAAGGAATGATTCAAGGTAACTTCTGTAAGCAAGGTACTAAATAAAAATATTGGTTTTGGTGTACCTTTTGTTAATACCCGAAAACCTTTGAATATATCTAAAATGGTTTCACTGAGGATCAGATTGTGAGCCAAGGTAAATGCCAAAAAAGGGTCTCTAGGGCATAAGGTGAGCGTGACCGACTGCACCCCTGTATTCTGACCCTACACACTATGGTAATAATCATTGTACAGAATATGCCTTGTGAGGTATTATTTGAAAACTAATAACTCACTGGTCAATCATATCATAGTGAAATGCACATAATGACATAGGTACAGTTATGAACATAAGCTGAAGTTACAACTGAAATGTGTTTACCAGACAAGTTTGGGGAGTAGGTAACCAGTTTCCCGAAGACAAAGGACAAGCTGATGCCTCTAGCCAAGTGTCATCAAAGTTGGCTGGCCATCACCTTTTAAGTGGCCATACTTTGGCAGCAAAGAGGGGGGCAGGAACAGATTGATTCACATTTTAACAAACAACATGGAACCTCTTTTACCACGAGACCCCATGCCTCCACCATCACAGCTGGAAGGTACTTGATCTAGGGGTAACCCTGACGAAAATGCATTTCAAAGGGTGGCTGGACTATAAAAGAGAGGGGGCAAAAACACCCCAGGTAGTCTCTTTCTCTATTCTTTCTATCTTTCTCTTGCTTTTTCATCTAAGGAGACAAAAGAAGCAGTCTTTGGACTTTGGAAGGGGTTCTGACCCGAGACTTTGGTTAGCCCTATTGCTGGAAACATTTGGTAAGAACCTTGAATCAAGTCTAGTTTGTTAACTTGTAGTTACCAGAAAGCATTTTATCCTTATTTTTCTTGTAGCCATTTCTGACTTTAATGCCTTATACTTGTACTCACTTAAGAACCCATCTCTTTGTAGTTAAGTAAACTTGTTTTGTTCTTTAATCAAAATTAAAATTAATCCAGTGTTGTGTTTAAACTGAGTATGTAAAAGGTTGTTACAAGGAGGAGGGAGAAAAATTGTTTTTCTTAACCTCTGAGGATAGGACAAGAAGCAATAGGCTTAAATTGCAGCAAAGGAGGTTTAGGTTGGACATTAGGAAAAACTTCCTGTCTGGGTGGTTAAGCTCTGGAATAAATTGCCTAGGGAGGTTGTGGAATCTCCATAATTTGAGATTTTTAAGAGCAGGTTAGACAAACATCTGTCAGGGATGGTCTAGATAATATTTAGTCCTGCCATAAGTGTAGGGGACTGGACTAGATGACCTCTCAAGGTCCCTTCCAGTTCTATGATTTGACCACTTACAGAGGCAATGGATATATAATACCTGACTGTTCAGGAGAGGGCTGGACAGAATAGAACACACATTTTGGGGGGAAAATGTGGGACTGGGAATGTGTTGGGGCCACCCTCAAGTGGTAACCAAGGCGAGTGGAAGCTGGAGTTTGACTGGAGTGTTGCTGGCAGGCTGCAGCTATATACAGATACTCAGGGTGTGACCTGCACACTGTTTGTCTTTGTGAGGGGCCCATAGCATTGTGAGGCACCCAACGTTGCAAGGCAAGTGGTGACACAACCCCTCACTAGTCTGGATTGCACCCCGGAATGTCATAGTGAACTACCCAAATCACATGTCACACTGTGGGCAAAAGAGCCACCTCCAGAGACTTCTACTTGCCCTCCAACACAGGTGGGTGAGGAGTGGACAGAGCCTTAACTCTGATTCCTCTCAAACTGCCAACCAGTGCACCTGAACAATTGCTCAGGAAAAGCACTGCCATGGCATACTCCCTCCACCCCTGCAGAGAAAAGGGGATCCAGGGTACGAATTGTAACTCTGTCACAATTTCCTCCCTGGTCTATTCCTGGGACATCATAACTATATGCTATCCCTTACTCAAAGCTTGTGGTAACTCCCCAGTCTTGTCCTATGGACAGTTTTTGTTGCCTGAGTTGCTATTTTACAGACATACCAAGTTCAGAGTCACATGACTTGCACCTTCTGCACACATGGAGGGAATTGTAATGATCCATGAATGTTGATCCTTCTTCACATGGTTTACAATTTGAGGTTTTGTTGTCGTTTGTGCAATCAGCAAGTTTAAATGAACCTGTTAAAAAAAAAAGAAGAAGAAGAATGAAAGTTGTAGTATCTCTACCCAGAAGTTGTCAGCTGGAAGATCTGCTTCAGATTTTCTATTTCTCTTCATCTCAAACTTTCTGATTTATGAATAATGACGGGATCAACACTTTCTAAATGCTACAGATAAATTATATGGGTATCTATCCGTACATGTCTTTTGGTAATGTAGCATATTCAGGGTTGGATTTAAAATTCTAATTATTAAAAACAAGAAGGAAAATTTACTAAACAAATGATATGTTCAATGAAAATATGCATTCACAGGTATAAATGGGGAGTTGTGTGGGCAAAAGAGCATGAATGCATTTTTTTACCTCCTTCAAAATTGTGCATGTCAATATCCCAGTGCTTCTCTATGAATCCAAGTAGCTTACACGGACTTGTCTGAAATCCATGGAAAGTTATTGGCATGAACTCAGTAAATATTTGTGTGTTTTCTACGATTCTGCATTCTAGCTACGCTTGGAACAGATCATGTGAAAGTGCTAGAATAGCATGGAATAATCATATACATCTTTACGGAAACAGCATAAATACAAGAAGGTTAGAGACCAATCCACAGAATACAGTTTTTAGTGCCCAAGGGATTTCCGAATGAAAATATGAAGCCAATGTAGTCCTGTCACTTGGGGGCCAGAGGAAGGCCCTATAACACTGTGTCCCAGTAGAAGCTACAGCATGTAGAGCAGGAGTAGTCAATTATTTTTATTTGTGGGATCCATTCAAAAGTGTCTAGTGGTCCAGATTTGGCCCACAGTCCACCTATTAACTACCTCTTATGTAGGGTATTTATCAAGCAGTATGTCATTCTGCCTGTGGCCATTTCCACTCACCTCTTTATTTTTCAATAAATTATTTTAAAATGATACCTACCAGGTGCACACTCCTTACAGCAGATATTTTCTGCAGCGTATTCTCTCTCTCCACATTTAAGTTCCCTTTTAGAAATATTCCTCTTTATAGACAGCTTATCATATATCGTGTGTGCAGCAGATACATCACTGTCCCACTGTGATCCAATAGTCCAACCAAACACCTAGGAGAGAACAGTAAAATTATAGGTGTGGGAAAATTGCTCACACTCTGCCTTTCTACCCTATCCTCCTGCTACTTGTACAGTGGGCCACAGTAGCACTAGACCCTGAGAGAGGAGTGGATGAAGGTGTGGGAGCAGTACCCCACAGCAAGGGTTGGAGGAGAGGTGGGGAGGGGAAAGGGGGAAAACAATATCTCATTGTGTGTTCCATATCTCAGGGGTCACCCTACACAAAGATGCCACAGTGACAGGATCATTACCTCCTTCCAGGCCTGTGAGGCGATTGGCTCTGGAGCCAGAAGTGCTCCGAGTGCTGTAAAAGCATTGCAGGGATGTGGGTGTCCGTGTCCCCCAGCGCTTGCAGCAGCTCTGACTGACTGCTTTGCTAGGACCTACAGTAGGGTCTGTAAGCCTGAAGTCCATGGGGAAACCTGTAGGTTAGCAGGTCTGACACAGGCTCAAGGAAGTAAAATGGAAGTAGAATTGTCCTTAATCCATCTACTTGGGCTATCCTGACCACAGGTGCAGCGCACAGGTGTAAATGGGGCTACACTGTGAGTAGACCTGAAGGAAATTATTATGCTGGCCACAAACAGGAGAGCTGTGACTCAGAGAGGTTTCTGAGTCAGAATGCTTCTCAGAGCAGCTCTTTGGGCATGTAGTCTAGCCATCATTCCTTGCTCAGGGCTGTGCCTAAAGTCACATTCTTGCTCTGAGAAACTGTTCATGTTCCAGAAATATTTATTCTCAGACACACTGGGCCTAATTCTCCTCTCCTTTACTCTTTTATAACAGTAACAGTTGCAGTTCCAGCAATTCAGAGGAGGTAATATTGATTGACACCAATGAGAGAGAGAGAGGAGAACCAGCACCAGAGTATCAAGCCAAGCAGCTGTCATTTAGAAAAGGAGGATACAGTGTGGAACAGAAAGATAAACACAAGGAGAGTGTACAGTGGAGCAAGAATCAGTGAGCCAAATGTATAGTGTTACTACAAATGCCATTTAGTTCTAGGGACAGAAAGTGAAGGACATTAGAGAAGGAGCAAATACAAGATGAACATGAAAAGAAAAAGGTGTAAAGAATGGGGTAGAAAACAGGATAAAATAGGTTATTGTAATAGAACTTTCTAAATGACAGACACGTGCAAAGCAAATAACTGATAACTACGCAAAAACCACACTAACAAACCTTTCTAGCTTCTATTACGTGCATGCATGAACTCAGAACTCACCTCAAAACCACCAAAACCGCCCCCTTGTTGACACAATAGGGAAAGACAGAAACATAATGTGTAGTAACATATATAGAACCAATTTATTACCAGATAATTCTGTACTTCCCAATACAGTAAGTGTGGACTACCTCTCAGGATCTGTCTTTCAAGTAGCATCATATAGGCACTCCACACAGAAACTTTATACAATGCCCTACATCTGATATTCTTCCTTTTTTGCTTCCCCTCATCCCCAAAGTGACATTCTAAATTTTCCACAATATTTCTTTATATCCTAGAGTCACTTTATATTTTTTCTTTTGATTCTCCTTGGAATTGCCACTCCCACATGATATTCAGTCCTCTGAAATTAAAATTTCATTACTAATAACAAAAGGAACACTAATGTTAACACAATTTGATGGTACGCTTGGGAAACCACTCATGTCCTCAGTAGTACCCATATCACTCAGTGACAATAACTGAAGGTACACACATGCATTAAGGGGATGATAGGTGCTTTTGGATCTGTTTTCATACAAACAGATGTATACAATGTATGCCTTCAGCCTACAATGACTCATGGAGGCTTGTTTTTGTTCTTTTCCTAATCTAACACAAATGCCATTTTTTAAACTAAAAGTCTAAACATCCAGTAGGAACAAAATAAGTAGGGGCAACTAACCCCAGAAAAACCCTTAGAAATCATAATTTGGGCCAGATTATCAATTCCAATTGATCTGCTCAGGCATTAACCTTCTTTCAGAGCCATAGAAGTGGGTTCCAATGGCAGGCATCAGTTGGGGAATCCGTGGCAGTGTGGCAATTAAGCCAAGCTACCTACAGAGCCAAGGCAGAGCCACTGAGGGCCTAGTGGCTCCTCCGGGATCCGTGTGATTTGTGGACAATATCCCAGGTCTTTTACACAGGGGGAACACTTCAGAGAAAACACTATGAGGGGCATAATGCTCTAACCCTACCATAGTCATAATACATACAATACTTGTACGTGAGACCCAGATAGTGATGGACAATTGCTTCAATAGTAAGTTTAAAATAAATTCTCTGCTTCCTCTCAGTCACCCATTCTCTTCTTTCATTAATTTCCCATCCCCACATGGGAGCATACACCTGCATCTATTCATTTGGGGCCATAATTTTAACCCATTCAAAACCTCCCATCTGTTCTTGCATCAGTCGCACAGCAGCAAGTGCACATAGCTCATTAGGGGCTCTCAAGAAATTTAAAAAGGGGGAGAGGAGATTTCCTTGCTTTGGTGTTGGATAGCAAGACGTGGGAAGTTTCGTTTATGTTCTGATGTTTGCTCTTGGTAGTTCTTTCACAAAGGATGATTTTATGAACAGTTTATCCCCCTTTTGCTATTTTAATGAATTTTTCTTTTGCAAATTAAAAAGCTTACATTAATCCTATCAAGATGGAACTGTCAAACAGGTGGTAATTTTATATTGTTTGGCAAATGGATCCTTTCCTTGCACTCTTTTAGATGAAGCAGACTTCTTACTATAACAGGTGCTCTCTGGTCCAGACATGCCAAACCCGCGAAAAAACATGCAGAAATTGGGCTTGTTTTTGGTTTAATTGGCTTGTGAATTGCTTGTGGGCTAAGTTTGGGCTTGCAGCTTGTTTCTTCTTCTTTTCTGATTGGCTTCTGGCAAGCAGGGGCAAAGCAGGGGCAAGGGGCAAACAGGGGCAAGGGCGGTAGAAAGTCAGGGGTGCACAGCAGGCCCACCACAGTCCCACACTGCACACCGGGACGATCTAGTTACACAGAGTGTTGGGGTTCTTAGGGATTGGCTTGTTTTGGCCTTGTTTTGAAATGAGATTAGCTTAATTTTTGGCTTATTATGAAAGTTGGGGGGCTTATTTACTGTGTGAAAGTTGGCAACTGTGCTCTGGTCCAGTTTCCAGCAGCACATTTTTCTCTTTCCACTCCCTCCTCTTTTTGCTCTCTTTCATCTATCCTTTTCTTTTTTCACACAAAGATGAAATGCACAGTTATCAGTGAACTGCCCTGAAGCAACCACTCAAAGTGACAATTCCTCATGTTCCAAAGTTTTCAGCGCACTTGAGTCATGAGAACCAGCAGGGCCAGAAAGAGGAATTGAGTTTAATGTTGTGAAGTCTACACAGTTAGAGTGGTGTAAACCCCCTAGAATCTGTGTATCTGTGGTGCTGAGGTTAATAGGATCTGTGTGTGTTCAGTAATCAGACTGGAAATCAGATTCATGGGGGTCTAAACCCTAGTCCCCACAAACAAGGTCAAATTTGAAAATGTTGGCATTAATATCTTATCGCAGTTTCCCCACCTGTACAGTGGGGATAATAACACATCCTTGTATCACACGAGTGTTCTGTGGATTTTTTGGAATTCTTTTTCAATGCACATTTATTAATGATTACTGTCTATTGTTAAGACTTGCAGCAACACTAACAGCTTCTGTGTCATTGTTGCTACTCTGTGGCCGGATGTCAAAATGGAAGATTCAAGGGAAGCTTATGATCTGTTTTTTTTCTTGTATACAATATATTGCAGTTCACTTCTCAGCATTTCCTGGTTGTTCAGTGTATTGCATCAAAGTAGGAGAAAACAGAAATTCATCTTAGCAGTAGAATAGGTAAACATATTGTGCAAATACAGACCCAGTTATGCAAACACTTATGACAAGATTAACTTTACACGTGAGTCATCCAATGGACTTGAATCTGACTATTTATATGCATTCATTTTAAGCACGTGTACAAATCTTTGCATTATTAGAGTCATAAGGAGTATCATGGGTGGAACAAACACTTTAGTGTGAGGGCCTTAACTTCTAAGAGGTCTTTTCTAAATTCTCAGAAATTGGCTATTTATTATATACAAGACCTTACTATATGAACTAGAAAATTATTGGCTAGTATTAGTTTGCTGTTTGAAGGTACCCAAATCTGTTCCTATTAAATTTAGTTGTTTTTCCTCTATTCTGTTTTATATAGGTTCTGGTACCACACTCATCATTGTACGAGTGTCCGCCAGCTGTTTTTTCAAATGGTCTATGCTTTGCTTTTTATATGAGGACAGGCCTATGATTAGTCTTTTGGTAACAGAGAAGGAATAGTAAGAGCCTAAGGAGGATCACCTGATCAAACTAGGCATCACCTAATGAAATTAATAGGCAGGAGAGGAAGTACTTTTTCATGCAACACACAACTAAGTGGTGGAACTTATTGTCATGGGATGTTGTGATAGCTAAAGTATCACTGAGTTTAAAAAAGGACTGGATAACTTCAAGGAGAATAGGTCCATCAATGGCTATTAGCCAAGATGGTCAGGGTCACAGCCCCATGCTTGGGGCAATCCTAAACCTCCACCGACCAAAAGATGGGAGTGGAAAATAGGGGTGGATCACTCCATAATTGCCCTGTTCTGTATGCTCCCTCTGAAGCTCTGGTATAGGCCACTGGGTAAGATGGACCATGATCTTACGTGCTTAAGGATCCATTTCTGCAACTGATGTGCGATGAGTGCAAGGGTTTGCTTCTGTGGAATCATTTTCAGGATCAAGGCCTAATAAACCCAACTACTCTCATATTTGGGTGTAAGTAAATTAATCAGCCAGACACATACTGCAGGGCTTTTTAAAAATTTATTATTTTTTTTAAGTGTGGTAAAATCATATGCTAGAAAAATCAGGGAAGAGGGAATAATAGGTTTATGGGAGAGCTACTTCCTCTCTGGCTAATGGGACTGGGATTTGACAGAGAGCCAGGTTTAGATGGAAACATCAGCCTATTGTGTATATTGAAGGAAGGGATGATGGGAAGAAGTTTTGTTTACACCACTATCAGTTTGACCTAAATAAATTCAGGATATAGATGCAAATCTATTTTTGACTGTGATTATGTCTATTTAAGCATGATATATTTAGAGTACGTCTCTGCAATTGGTGTGCTGAAGGCGTTTCTCCCCTTTTGACACACACAACCTACACTTCAGCTGTTTGGATGTAAAGCATCCTCTATACTATTTAATCTATATTTTGGTGTTTTGTGGAGTGGCACAGTTGTAAAGCTCCACAGTATAAACTGAGTCACATAACTGCATTACCAAAATTAATTTTGTACCCTTCAAGTGATGAATAAAATCTACTGTTAAAATTTTGCTACCAATCATCTCAATACTAGCCTCTGCTCCGCAAACAATCATTCAGTGCCAATTGTAACCATGCTGTGGGAAGATCTTACGTATGAAATTCAAGACCATATCTCTGAGAGAGTTGACAGCAGTAACCAAGGGACAATTCCTAGAGTTATGGTCCTCAGACAAAATGCTAGGAAACTTCAGAAAGAGTCTTAGGTCCAGTGTATCTCCCTGGACTGGAAGAAGGGAATGATAAATCCCAGTCCTGCAAATACTTAAGCACATGCTTAACTTTACTACGCTGAGCAGTCTCGCTGATTTCAATAGGACTGCTCATGGTAGCAAAGTCAAGAATGTGCTTAAGTGTTTGCAGGATCGGGGCCATAATAAATAAGTTTATAAACCAAGGATGTCACATTTTCAGGGCCCAATCCTGCTCCCAACTGATATCAATAGTAGTTTAGCCATTAATATTTTTGAATTTCATCTCAAGTGTGCAGTTTGCATGGATCACCATTAAAGGATCAGTAATTGCCAACTGCTGGGACAGTTTTCTTATACTAGGAAATAGATGTGATAACTGTGTAGTGTTGGCAAATGTCAATTTTCAAAAATAGAACAGGAGTACTTGTGGCACCTTAGAGACTAACAAATTTATTTGAGCATAAGCTTTCGTGGGCTCAAATAAATTTGCTAGTCTCTAAGGTGCCACAAATACTCCTGTTCTTTTTGCAGATATAGACCAACAGGGCTGCTACTCTGAAACCTTTCAAAAATAGAACAGCAGCTCTCCAAAAATAGGAATTCACTTGTAAGCCAATTAAAGGAGGGGCCCTATACCAAGTCTGAAAAACATTCAGTTTGTCCTCTATTGTATCATGTAGTGTACTTTATAATTTTAGTACAAGTGAGGGAGCGAAAGACTTCAGTTTTACTGCATTGCTTCACTCCACAGAAAGACCCGAAGTGAAAAAAAGTATAGCTGAATAGAGGAGTTCCCTTTACAGGCCACCTGGAGTCTTCCTTCACTAGTCTTTTTAAAACAGTCCCAAAATCAAACCGCTTCTAGGAACCAATATTTCCGAGCCACGTCTCCTTCACATGGTCTCTGAGTCAATTGGCCCCAGACGTAAGGAAGCAGGAATGCTTTCTGTTTATTGCGGTTGTGTCACGCAGCAGGCAGGACTTTATCTCTACCTGATCTCGCTTCTCAGAAACGATCATTGTTTCTGGTCGAAGGCGAGGCAGCGAGCGAGACAGCGAGCTTTACCTGAGGACGGGAAGCTGGTTTCTGCCCCGCGCTGGGCACCCCAGCAGAGCGAGGGAAGTGACCAGTCCTGACCATCGTCCCCCGGCAGCTGTCTGCGCCCCCCCCCCCCCGTAGCCACCGGCGCAAATACGGGGCCGGAGACTCTCCGCGAAGGTGGCCCCGCTCGAGGCGCAGCCCTGGGGAGACGGACAAGCGGCCGCCCGAGCCGCGGGAATCCCGCCCGGCCCCCTCCCCGGACAGTCCGGCGGCCTGGCCCGGGCGAGAGGGGACTTACGAGGACGAGGCGGAGGAAGAGGAGCCCTGCGCTCATGCTGCCGCCGGCCGGCGCGGTGCCCGGGCAAGCCCTCCAAAGCGAAAGTGAGTCGTGGCGCCGGGGAGCTGCCCTCGCCGCCGTCCCCCCTGGGCGCGCATCGAGCACTGGGTCCCCAGCTGCAGCATCTGCCCCGCCCCGCGCTGTGCCGGCCACCGGGCAGGCTCCTCCTCCGGGGTTAGGCGCCGCCCGTCCCGCTCCCGTGCCCGGCGCCGGGGTTGGGCGGGGGGAAGGAAAGCAGGGAGGCAGCACCGCGTAGGGTAGGGAGCGCCTGGAGCACAAGGGGACCGCCTGGCCCGGAGAAGCTGGGCAGAGCCGCAGTTGGGAGGATCCTCCTCCCCCCAGTAGCCACCGAGGGTTGTTGCTACAGCGTTGCAAGGTGCAGTGTGGGCTCCCTGCTCACCCCAGCAGCAGGCTCGTGGACAAGCGGGAAACAATTGTATTGATCTCATCGTTAGGCGTTAGCCCTGGAGTCCTCTGGTCCTGCGCCTGAACGGGGCCCTGCTATGCTTCTATCTGGCCAGCTTATTTTGGAAAGAGTCCCAGATGTCTCTGGCCACATGCTTAGGCTCACCAACCTCTAGGATTGGCCTGGAGTCTCCAGGAATCCCCATCGATCTCCCCCCGGGACGTTGAAAGCAAGCCAGGAGATTTTAATAGGATATTTTAAGAAAATGACATTACCTTGGGGGGGGGGGGGGAATCTCCCAGAATAGCTTCAGTCAGAGTTGGCAGCCCATGCTCTTTCAGATGCCTCAGTCCAGAACAGTCTTGCCGTCAGGTGCATCTGAGTGGCAGTTCTGTGGTGATCTATGGGGTAGTAATAAATTGTACTCCTATAGCACCTTATGTACAGTGACCTAGGTATTTTAAAATGAATCAGTTAAAGCGAACAATACCTCTGTGATGTAGATTTACAGAAGAAGGGCAGTGCACTGGCTAGGCTGCTAGACTGGGACTTGAAGTGCTCAGATCAGTTTTGTTCTCTGCTGCAGAGTTCCTGTGTGACCCTTGGGAAAGCGACTTAAAGCCGAATTATTACATGTAGGTACATAATGATTGCAGATAGCTGCCTAGTGGGATTTTCAAAATGCCGAGCTGTCTAACTCCCATTGCTTTCAGTCTGCACTTTTGAAAATCCCATGTGGTGCCTATGTGCATCTTTAGGTGCCTAAATACCCTTAAAGTCTGGATTTTTGTTCTTTCTCTGTCTCAGTCCCCATCTACAAAATGGGGGAATAGTATTTTCTGGCCTTGCAGGGGTGTTATGAGGATAAATAAATATTTAAAGGCTATGTGGTGTTCAGATATTATAGTAATAGGAGCTGCAAAAGTACCTAAGATAGATAGTATTAAGTCACTTGTTAAAGTTTACACAGCAAATCGGAGATGGATCCAGGAATAGATCTCATGTCTCCCCACTTCAACCACTAAATATGAGACTCTCATCTTGGGGGGGAGGGTTGACTGCCCTGCCTTTGTTAAGTATGTAGGTGTAGGGCAAGGGAACCCAGATAGGATAGAAGTGAGTGGAAATATGAAAAAGGTTGAAAGACTCACTGCAATGGACAAGGCTGCCTTCCACTGTCTTGCCTGAAGGGGCGCTGACAAGGCCAGTAATGTGATCTATCATCCGTGCTGTTTCACAGCCTTTCACATGCACATAATGTAACGGTTGTCTCTCTTGTGCTTGCCTTCAGTGAATCCTTGGTCTTCCAAGCTCTGCCTGCAGTATCTGTTGAAGGTAATATGACAGTCTCAATCAGGTATCAGTTATTGAAATAGTTAAACATGTTTCAGTTTATGCCATGATAATACTGTGTTTTCAAGACTGTGGTTGCATCTGAGCTGGTATTTCCATTTTAAAGCCAATTTTTCAGGGGTTTATGACTCACCCTTGTATTTGCAAGCACAGAAACAGCTGCGCTTTGAGAAATGTTGCTAAACCAGTTAAGCTATGTTCAGAAACTTATTAAAAAATAGCTTCTCTTTCAGACATTTTAACCACTTCCGCCTAAAACAAAACTCTTCATCTAGAACTGCTGATGCTTTGAGATGCTCCATCTTTGATGTAGATATTAATGGCAAACTCCCCTATCTCCCAAAATGAAGTGAGATGGCTAAGAAGTATGTGAAATGTGGGCACTGTATATACACCATAGTTTCAGTTCACAACGGGCCCAAATCCCAAAGTACTTACTCAGTTCACACTCCAGGCTATTGATTTTAATAGGAGCTAGCCTGAATAAACACTGAGTACAAATGAAGTGCTAGATTGTCCTCACTGGCTGGAGGGGCTCTGCAAGGCTACAGAGCCATAGCCGAATTCGTCAATCAAGAGAGCAGGGTTCACCTTAAAAACAAACACACACCCCCCCCCAAAAAACCCATCCAATAGGGTTGGCCCCTTGATATGTATCATTTTAGCATAAAAAATATCCAGATTCTGTTCTATACCGCCCTCATCATCATAGTCTCTGAGTGCCTTCCAGCAGTGCATTACTAAGTGACATGACTAACGTATTTCACATGTTGGTTGGTCTTTCTGTCATCATCTCCCCAGGGGAAGAATTGTACATGCAGTGTAGTGTGTTTTGTTTTGGTAGGTGTAGTGTATACAAACTGGGTAGGATCCCTTTTAAATAGCTTGAGCCCTCTAGTGGTTCTTACTGGCTTCTAGGTTTCAGAAGCCTCCAGAACCCTGCAGAGCAGCCATTGATTTATGTAGCTAGGCCGTGCATGTGGTATATAGTTAGTAAACACTGTTGTTATTTAGACCTCACTGTGTGTGTGTTTGTAGTTCCTTTAATTACCTTTGTTGTATAAAGAGCAAAAGACACAACAGTGGGATTTTTTGGAAGGGAGAGGGGAGTATTGTTTTTGTTTTTTAAAAATGATAGTCCATTAACATTTCTAATTTACTCTGGTGAAAGTGTTTGGTTTGTACACAGCTACCGGGATTGTAGCAGCTTCTTTGGCTGGAGGGAGTGGCTGCTGTGACTTTGAATTTCTTTTCTTCCCCATTCACCTCTGTTTAAGGGCTTGTCTACACTTAAAATGCTATGCCACTGCACCAGTGCCATTGCAACGCTTCCGTATAGATGCTACCTATGTAGCCCTGTACTAGCTTTAACATTTATTTTATTTAGCAGTAATGCAAGGAGCCTACAGGCCTTTATCCTGTATGACATTGGCTTCAGCAGTTAGCATGAGGGCTGAGATCTATGAACTTGGCACAGATAATGGCCCGATGGTCACCCTAAATTTTGGGGGACTGGGACAGAGTGTTTAAGGGGGAATTTTGTCCATAACGACACCAGCCGACCACAGGAATGTGAGCTAACACCAACTTTTGGATATTTTAGGATGGGAACATCTGCAGATGTCTGACCACAAGAGTACCATGGACATATATGATAATTGACATATATGACATATATGATAATAAGTTGAGATCATTAATATACTAACCAAAGGAGAAGGGCACCCTAACATTAATAGGGTGAGGAAATACAAATAAGGAAGAAGGGAGAAACCCTTACTGAATATGCATTAGAGTGGCATCAGTGTAACATATTATAAAAGTTGTATCCCAGCCTGTGTGCAGGAGGAGGGAAAGATGTAGCCCTTGAGAGATGCCAGAATGACGGCCCCCTGGCGATAGTGATGAGAAAGATAATGGCTAATGTTTCAGGCTGTTCTGTAAGGGGTGGTATGAGTATATGGATGTTCAGATGTACATTCTGCATGATCTTTGTCTACCTTGCTGGGACAGAGTTTTGTGACTTTGCCAAATGTATTAATAAAACTATTACAAATATAGAAAGGTTCCTAAAGTATGAGTGTTGCAACCAGGCACATCAGGGCTACCAACTGAACAGTAATTTTAATAATACAATCCATAGATCAGGCAACACATATGCCAACAGGAGGTGTTCTCCCATCCAGGTAGGTAATCCATCTCCCTGAGAAGTGGTAGCTAGGTTGATGGAAGAATTCTGCAGTCGACTTAGTGCTGTCTTCACAGGGACGTATGTTCTTATGACTTAGGTCATCTTAACAGCGCCGCTCAGGGATGTGGATTTTTCACACCCTGACCGACATTGTTAAACCGACCTAATTTTCTAGTGTAGACTAGGCCTATTTCTTAATGTGAACCTGGATTGTACTGTTTCAAGTTAGAATAATATAACCTCTGGCCTTAACTATACTCTTTTGCCACTAGATGTCCTCATAGCTCTCACCGCAGAATAGTTATAAAAAACTGGGAGCTGTGCCTCCAGCTACAGTTAATGCACAGGATCCTGAACGTTTTAGGTCATCAGGCATTCAGTCTTTGAAAATGTATGTTGTTACAGTGAACCATCCATTCATAGTTTAAACTTCTCTCCACACTAGTTTGATTCACAGTGGCCTTTATTTTGCACCCATGATGATGGCCTAATCATCACAAAGTAGACTGGAGAGAGTCAATAGAAACTCACAGGAGTAAAACTTTGACTTTAAAACACATGACTGTAGTGCTCTGCTAATAAGAATCATGATGTTTTAATTTGTATTTGTGCTTGAGTTGGTGTCAGGGTTCCTCTCTTTTTCCTAAAGGTGATCTGGCACTTGGGAAAATGGTACCCAACAGGCATTATGGCTTCTTGGAGTGACTATTAGTGTAGTCTTCTCAAAAACTGGCTCTATAGGGGAAGAGAAGCAGGACATTGTGGGATAAATCAAGACCATAAGCCTGTGATCAGTAAGAGGGATAGAGCCTGTGGCCCCCAAACCGTAATAGGTTGTTTTCAACACTTGGAATAGTTTTACCTTTTTAAAGAGAGAGAACCAGATAAAGCTGCATTATAATAACCCCCAAGATTGCTGATTCTTTCTTTCTTTTTTTATTTTTTAAAACATACCAAATGTCTGCAAATGCTGTGTTTACTTTTGAGATGCTTTCACATATGTGTGTGTGTCTCTCTCACCAACAGAAGATGGTCCAATAAAAGATATTACCTCACCCACCTTGTCTCTCTCATATCCTGGAACCAACACAGCTACAACAATACTTCACACAATATTATAGTGACAGTCATTCTGCATTAATATATGCTTTTATTAGGTTAAATTGTTCTACACTAACTCACACAAATAGTCCCATTGACTTAA